TCCAACACCCACTTTCTTACATTTTCTTTCCCTAGCCTCCCCTGGTCTCCCCTCCCTCCCACCCCCACTCCATATGCTTCTTTCTGCAATCCTCTCTGTGTTATGTTCAAAATAGTGTATATTTGGAGCAAGTCATTTTTAATCCTTCAGTTGAAAATATTCATTCATTCATGAAACATTTAAGCATTGATAGGTTGAGAACGGTGCTAGGTGACATCTCATCTCATCCTCAACAATTCTGTAAGGTAGGAACATTATTTTAACTGCTTTTAAGGCTCCTAAGGGTTGTGTAACTTGGCCACAGTCACACAATTTGTTTGGCAGAGCCTGGACAGCAGCTGCCTACTGAGTTCGTATGATGCGCCAAGGACTGCACGGAGCCCTGTGTGTAGTTTGCACAGGAAGGCAGGAGGCCCGGAGGCTGGGAAGGTAACTCATCGCAGTTCCCCAGGGCTCTGCAAACTCCTTGTTCTTTCTGCTGTGCCATGCTAACAATAAAAGCCTGCTGTGATCCATGCCTTGATGTTTCTGTTGTCTGCAAGGTGCTCTGGGGATCCACAGGGAAAGTGGACCTGAGAAGTGCACTGGCGTTTCAGAGAAGAGGTGCCATTTAAACTAGACCTTAAGAGAGGAGCTTTTCCAAAGAGATGAGTGAGGGAAAGCATTGTTGTCAGTGAGGAGGCCCGTTTGAAGTCACGGAGGGCTTGCCCAGTTGTGTGACAGGAGCTGTCCTGGCCACTGCCGCATACGGGGCTGGGACATGTGCAGGGGTGGCTCCACAGGGGCCTTGTGGACTCTGCTCCGGAATTTGGGTTCTTTCTCTTGTCTGACGTGGGGTCATCAGTGCAAAGTGGGGTGATCAGATTTTGGGGGGGGGGTGTATAAACTGGTGGAATTGTGTAGGATAACCGAGGAGGGTTGAGATCAGTGAGATCATGCCCGTAATTCAGTCAAGAGCCTGACCCAGCACATTAGTGGGGGATGCAGAGCCTCCAGGAGCAGAAGCCGGAAGAGGCAGGCGCGCCCCGTCAATTCATCGGCTGAACTGCAGTACACCATTGCAGACCTTTCATTGCGGGGCTTCAGGGAAATGTCAGAGGGCTGGGAGTTCAGTGAGATCAACATCCTCAGCCTGGCCGGGACCTCCGCAGCTTCATAGTGGCCTGAAAGCTCTGCAGACCTTTTCTTGTTTTATTTATTTTATTTTATTTTATTTTATTTATTTAATTTTAATTTTATTTTATCTTATTTTGAGAGAAATGGGAGGGCTACAGAGGGAGAGGGAGAGGGAGAATCTTAAGCAGGTTCCACACCCCATGTGGAGCCAAACACGGGGCTCGATCTCACGACCCTGAGGACGTGACCTGAGCCAAAATCAAGAGCCGGATGCTTAAGCAACTGAGCCACACAGGCGCCCCTTCTTGTTTGTTTTTAAAGCCAGGAACACAACTGAACTCATTTTCACAAACTTGCTCTTACACTTACTCTTAGTGTCGGTAGTGGCCCAAACACCGTTTTCCTCGCCTGTAGTGTGTGTGTGTGACGTATGTACACTAACATATGTGTGATTGCATGTGTACACGGACTACAGTGTATTATACGTGCAGTATTGAAATTTGCTTTTGTTCCCCCACTTAAGGTATCTTGGAGGTCATTTTTTGTCAGTAAATCTGGAGCTGCCTAATTCCCTTCGATACTGCTTAGCATTTCATTATATGGATGTGCCATAGTGTCCTTAGAATACATAATGTATCATGATGGACATTGAGGTTTCTGATATTTTGCCATTACAAATGATGCAGTGAGTATTCTTGTATATACATATCATTTTCACATATCCAAATTTCCAGAAATGAATTCTTAGAAGATTTGAAATTCTTTGAAATTGCTGAGTCAAATGGACTCATGTGCATTTGTAATTTTAACATATTGCTAAATTACTTTCCATTCTGCCTGTTTTCCTATACCCTCACCAACACAGGACATTGATGGTGACTCCTCTGAAAGGGAAAACTGGTCCCTTATTGTAGCTTTCCAGATGTTTGAGCCATTTGCATTGTCCTTTTTATCCTTTTTAAATTTTTCTCTTGAATTATTGACCTTATTTAGCTGTAGGAGCTCTTGATATTTTAAGGAAATTAGCCTCTTGTCTGGCGTGAATTCCAGATATTTCTCCCCAGTATGTTGTCTTTTGATAGTTATTACTATAAATATTTTTTTAGTTAAATTTGTCAGGATTTGTATGTATGTGGGGGGAACTTTAGAATTTCATGTTATACTTAGAGAAGATTTCCCTTTTTTATGATTTTTGAAACTCTCCCTTTTTTTTCTCTCAGAACTTATATAGTTTAAGTTTTTCTGTATTTAAATCTTCCAACTCTTCGGAATACATTTGGGGGTAAAGTATTAAGTATGGATCAGACTTTTCCCCCGTTGTCTCAACCCCATGCACTGAAAAATTAATCTTTCCCCATTGATTTGAAATGCCATTAGGTATCTTCTTATGTGTGGATCTTATCTACCCAGGTAGACCATAAACTTTTAAAAGGCAGCAATCAGATATTATCCTATCTTGAATTCACCCCCATAAAGCTGAGCATAATGTTCTGCATAAAAGAGGTATGACAGTGTTTTTACATTTAAAGAATTGTGACATATATATATATGTGTATATATATATGTATATATATATGGGAAAGTACACAAAACATTCACATACAACTCAATGAAAATTTATAAAATGAATGCCTGGGTAACCACAACGTAGATCAAGAAATAGGCCATTTCCAGCTCTTCAGAAGTCCCCTGTGCACCCGTCGCATTCACATTCCTCTTCCATCCCCCAGAGGCAACCCCTCTCTTGACTTGTGACAATGATTTTCTTGTTTTTCTTTATCATAAGATTGGACCATACAAAATCACCATTGTTTGTAGGTAAAAAGCCATCGAATGTCTGCAATTTCATATTTCAACCTAGTAATTTTTACCACCTCTGCATGTATCTTTAAACAGTATAGTTTAGTGGAGCCTATTTTTTTTTAATATTACTTAAATGTGACCTTATTGTATTTGTTTTTTGCTATGCTTCTTTCCTTTACTATGATTTGTGTTCAGCCGTGTTGTGGAAAGTTGTCAGTTCTCGCTGCTAGATAGATCCTATCATACGACTGTGCTGCACTATATCCATCCCACTGTTGCTGGGTTATAGGTTTCCAGTTTTGACCATTGAAAACAAGGTTACTATGAAAATCTTTGAACATGTGTTTTGATGCATGTAACAAAGATTTCTTCTAGGACAGAACTGGCAAAGTAGGGCCTGCTGCCTAGTTCTTTATTTTTTTAAAGCTTTTAATGTTGAGATGATTTTACATTTATAGAAGAGTTGCAAAATTGGAACAGAGAGTTTTGTATACCCTTTATCAAGCTGCCCCTAATGTAAACATCTTACATGGTTACGGTGCATTTAAAAAAATCAGACATTAATGTTGGTACAATACTGTGAACTGCAGACTTTGGAATTCATCAGTGTTTCCACTAATGTCCTTTTTCTGTTCTAGGACCATTGCAGGATACCACACTGCACTTAGTTGTCACATTTCTTTAGACATAAAACAAGCTCCACTACAGTATTCGTGTGAAGTTCTTTCTGTTTTCAGCCTTATATAGTAGCCAGTCAAAATTGTTTTCCAGAGCTACTATTACATACTATTACATAGTCATTTGGATCTCCTTTCTTTCCCTGAGAAAAATTCATTTAAAATTCATCCAGGTTGTGTACATCAATAATCTGTTCCTTTTGTAAAAAAAAAAAAAAATGCAGCAAACGTCCTATAACATGAAATTAACCATTGGAAAGTAAGCACTTGAGTGGTGGCATTTAGTACATTTACAGTACACAACCACCACCTCTGTCCGGTTCCAAAACGTGCTCTTCACCCCAGAACAAAACCCCGTACTCGCTCAGCAGTTACCCAGCCTCGGGCAGCTGTCAGTCTGCGTTCTCACCATTCTGGATATTTCCCGCGAGTGGGACCGCACAGTATGCAATGGTTTGTGTCTGGCTCCTTTCACGCATCCTGGTTTTGAGGTTCATCCGCATTGTACCGCATGTCAGTACTTCCCTCCCTTTTGTTTTGTTTAAGTTGCGGTAAAATATATATAACATAACATTTGCCATTTTCACCATTTTTAAATGTACAATTTAGTGGCATTAACTATACTCACAACATCATGCAACCAGTCCCCACTACCTATTTCCAAAACGTTTTCATCCCCCCAGCCCCACCCCGCGGAAGGGCAGTACCCAGTAAGTCCCCTTTCTCTGCTCCTGCTAGCCCTGGTACCTTCTAGTTTAATTTTTATCTCTAGGAATTTGCCTGTTCTAGGCATCTCATCTAAATGGAATCATGTAGTGGTTGTTCTTTTGTGTCTGGCTCCTTTCACCCAGTATCATTTTTTCCAGGCTCATCCACATTGTAGCAGGTGTCAGAACCTCATTCCTTTTTATGGTTGGGTAATAGTCCATTGTGTGGCTACCCCACATTTTGTCCATCTGTTGATGGACATTTGTGTTGTTTTCACCCTTTGGTTCTTGTGAATAATGCTGCTGTGAAATTGGCCTACAAGTATCTGCGTGAGTCGTTATTTTTTATTCTTTTGTGTATATCCCTAGGAGTAGAGTGGTTTGCCTACCCCGGTCTAGAACGCGTACAGTGGTAAACTGAATTCTAAAGTGGTTCTACTGCAATCTTGACAACACTTGATTTTAACAGATTCTTCAGTTTTTGCCAGTCTGCCCAATGTGCCATGGTGTTGCACTGTGATTTTAATTTGCATTTCCTGATTCCTGAAGGAGTTGAACACATTTTCTCATGTTTATTAGCCATTTGAATTTCCTGTTTGGTAACGTGCCCATTAATGTTCCTATTGGTGGTTTGCCTTTCTAAATTGATGTTGATGAACCGATGCCTCCAAATAATGTTTACTCTGTGTTTCTGCAGAACAAATAGTGGAGAAAGATGAAGGTCCGTATTATACTCACCTGGGATCTGGCCCCACGGTAGCCTCTATCCGGGAGCTCATGGAGGAGCGGTGAGTGACGCCCAGGTGTCCAAGCAGAGGTGGGCAGTTGTTAAGAGAGCATGGCCTTGAAGCGCCTCTCATTGTCATTGCCTCGTACCGGATGATGTACAGGAAGGAGGTCATGATACCCAGACTGTGGAAGGTTGACTACGGGTTTCTCTCTCTCCATAGGTCTGCTCTCTCTGTCTTCCCCTTCCCTGCTCTTCTCTCTCTCTTGAATTATTTTTTATTGATGAAATGTGGTGAAATGACTCTATGTCCCATAGTGTTTCCCGAGGTCTGAATTTTGCTGCTGGCTTTTCTACAGTATTGTTCACTGTGTCCTTCTGCCCTCGCTATGGCCTATAAATTCGCAGCTAGAGCTAAAGACGTCATGGGAATCAGACAATTTTTTTTCTTTCTTTTTTTCAAAATGACTTCATAGGTGGTATTTTGTGTCTCCGCTAGGAGGAATAGACTATCTCCTCGTTGGCCAGTGGGTGTCTGTTCAGGTTGTGTCCTGAGTCGTTCTGACGCTGTCCCAGGAGTCTTTGATAGCTTTCTCGATTCCTCATACGGCATTATGCTCGGGGCGCGCATTCTGCATTTACCCAAGAAGTCCAGGTCCCTTCTATTGGAGGAAGAAGTATTTAGAAAAATTCTGGTACTAGTTGTGCCCGTGGCTTCTAGGCCATTTCAGTAGAAAGAGCTAAGATGTATGGGTCGGGTTTTTATTTTTGGTTATTGATTAGTGATCAAATACATCGGAGGTTACATTGACACTTAGAATTCAAACTCAGGACTACAGGGTTTTTCCTTAATGGCCCTGTTTTGTTTTTTTAAGCAGTTTGTATGGAGACTTTAAAATCTGCATATGTGTCCACAGCAGATATTAAATGCCACGAGTTCCAGTGTACCGAAGGGTAAAATAGCTTGGTGATTGAGAGCATGTGGACACTGGAGCTAGACTTCAAGGTCTAATCCTGGCCCTGCCCCTCCCTGCTGAGTCCTTGTGTAAGTTGCTCTACTTCTTTGTGACTCAGTTTTCGTATCTGCAAAATGGAGATGATAGAAGTACACATATGTTGTAGGAGAGTAATGAAGAGAAGCTGAGTCGGTGTCTGGAAAGCACTTAATGCTTACAGGGAAGGACCACATCAGGGGATCTATCTCAAACACATATGTACTGGTGGAAATTTTATAACAAGCATGAGTATTTTAATAGTAAAGGCAAAGATTATGTAGACAAATATGTTTGCCTGTACATATACATAGAGATGTGTGGAAGACCGCGTGGCTCAGAGTTCCCACAGATTTGGGAACCATATTTTGTCTGATCAGGGGAGCCAAAAGAATCCTGTCATTAATGTAGCAGGGAACGTAATTTTGAACTGAAAAACTGTAATGGCATCCCTGAATAAATAAATGCTAAGATGGATGGAGGACTGTGATCTCCTGTAATGACTCTTAATTGTCCTGTACCATCTGGAAACATTTATATTCCAAGTAGCCCATCAGAAAAGCATTTGATCAAAGACCCGATCTGCACATTTGAGCCTGATGGAAAGGGTACCTTCGAGTCCTTGAGAACGAAACGTTTAAGACAGGGTGTGTTTTTGTACATGCACTGCCCGCATGTGCCAACACACATATGCGTTGCAGCGCCAAGGTTGGGGCAGCCAGCATTTTGGCCAGTGATTTTTTTCTTTTCTTATAGGAAATCTTGATATTATTGTTTGCAGGTTGAGGGCTGCAGGGGAGTCCAATGTGCACGTTGATCTGGGACAGTTTTTGTTTGTGTTTGTTTCTTGGTAACAATTTGACAAAATTTCTAGACAGCCCTCTAAATAACTTTTAGTTATAGAAGAGTATGTTTTGAAACAAGGATTAGGAGATAGTGATAAAGTTGAGATTTGTCCTTTTTTTTCCCCCTCATTGCTTTAAAAATAACAGCCAACTGTAGATTCTTCAGAAACTGATCCAAGGGAAGAATTCCTGTCAAGACCAGGAATACTTGTGTTTTTCCTCAGCAGCTGGTTTATTTTTATCTTAAGGACCTTGTAAATTATGTAACAGATTGCGTTTCCATCTTCGTTAGCTGCTGGTAAGCTTAGGGCCAGATTTGTGTACCCCTATTAGGAGGAATGTAATTTCTCATCTTTGGCCCATGGGAACCTCAGGTTCACTTCTGAGTCCTTTTGATATGACCCAAAGGAGTCTTCATTAGTTTCCTGGATTTCTCATACAATGAAATTTTCTAGGCCCATCTCTCAGAATACACACAAGACCCTACCGCTTGCATTTTACATACCAACGTTATGTCCATCTTTTCCCCCTTTACTCTGATTTCATCACCTGTTATTTTTATCTTATAGACCTCTTTTTAAAAAAGTTTTCTTGTGAAACAAGGAGAGGAATGAATGATCAGTGAACACCACCAGGCTGGGGGTCTAGTTTGTGAATGGTCCAGGCTGTCTCTTTCCCTAGACCTCTCCCCTGACCCTCTCTCTGCAGGACCACTCTACCACCAGAAGTTGGCCAAAGTCAGGAAGGGGAAGCGAACTGAAATCAAGGAGACGTTGGTGCTTTTAGCTTCTCTGGTAAAGATTTGGAAAAAGGAGGGGGAGGTCAAAAGCAAATCCTAAAATATTCTCCCAATTTATTTATGGGTTCCACATGTGGGGAACCCAGGTCCCCATTGACATAGGTAATTGTAGGCAGTTGTTCAAACTCATATCTGAGAAGGGTGTGCTGCAGAGCCCCGTGTCCTCCAACTGGAAGGGGATTCTGTGTAGTCTAGGAGTTCACTCAATGTTTATTTGAAAAATAGAGAACCAGGACTTGCTGGCAAAGCCTCTGAGTTTAGGAGAACTAGTCTCATTATTGTGTGATAAAGGTAACCCCAAAGAAGTCCCACCTTAGATCACTGGTTCTCAAACTTGAGCATGCTTCATAGTCTCCCAGAGGATGCATGAAAGCTCAGATCCCTGGCCCCACCCCAGGGTTCCTGACCCAGCAGGTCTGGGATGGGACCCGAGAGTCTGCATTCCCTCCCGAGTTCCCAGATGATGCTGGTCTCAGCACCACTCTTTGAGAACCACTTGCTAAGATGATCAAGTTATCCCTCAGAATAAGGTTTCAGCCTATCCCTTCAGACTTTGCTTAGGGTCTAGGAGATCATCTGTCTATGGTGATGAACATCATCTAGACGTTCTAGAGTATCATCTTAAGGATAGGCCAGCGAGTGAGACATTTAAGAAGAAAAGAGCCAAATCCAGTGTTGATTGGTTGTCTTTAAGCACAGACATAGTTCTGATTTAAAAAAAAAAAAAAAAAAAAGGTCTAGCTGTTCAGACAGTGCTTGGCCCTTTTATTTGCTCTTGAATATTCAGTTCAGTGCAGGAAGTGTTTCTCACACGGGTGGGATGGTGGGGAAGGTACTGGTCAGAAAGCTTGCGTCAGTGTCCTCAGCTCACCCTCCTGTGGGGAACACGATATCCCGTCTGTTTCGATGAGAGCAGCATGGACACCTTGGGCTGTTCTTCCCACAGCGACCCCAGGACACATCAAGTTACCCAGGCTTTGCACTTGGGGGTCACTTCCTGATAAATGTTTGTGAAATTGAAAGTTTTCCAGGAACTGAACAAAAGCGGCACTATCTGGTCTTTTCCTCTGGAGCCAGGCCATACCATGTCAACTCCCCAGAGTCCTGTCCCCAGACACGTTCTATAAGGGACTCACATAGCCATAGAATTTTCACGTGCTAATTCTCAGAAACCCTTTCTCTGTTTCACTCAAGATCTCCATGAGCTCAAAGAAACTGTACATCAGTATTTTAAAAAATAATTTGTTTTCTTTCCCAATTACAAAAATAGAACCTGTCTATAAAAGTCTTTCTTTAAAAAGCTAAGAATGAATAAAGCTCTCCAGCAATTATCCACAAGAAACATGCTTACCCTTCAGTTTTTTCTAAGCATTTATAGCTACACATATGTATATAAATTTTAAACCAAATGGGATTACTGTTTGCAGCTGCTTCCCCCCATCGCTTAATTTCTTCCATGTTAGTGCATATAATTATATCAAATCCTTTTTGATGGCTACATGGTTTTCCATTATATGGAAATTTATTATATTTTATTTAGCCAGTCCTATACTGGATATTCAAGTTTTTCTAATTTTTAAGTTGATGCAACAATGACTATCTTGTTCCTAAGTCTTGGTGTATTTGTACAGTTATTTCAGAGGTGTAGAGAATCCTGGAAGCGGAGCAAGATGACATAAAGAATACAGGTCTCCCCCACTATCCAGAAGTAGAGCATCCCTTGGAAAACTTTCCTAAACCAAAAATGGCAGCAAAGTGAAGAAGCAGTTACTTTTAACTTACATGGAAAAATGTTTGGGCATTCCTGGACCCCCCAAAATAACCTCTCTTAGTCTTCTCTGTTACCTTAAGACACATCTGGCTAATGGATGCACAGAATAAATCAAGACAAAGCACAGATGCTCACAGACATAGTTCAGAGCTCTGGCAACTGGGTACTGGGATGTTGAGTGGATTTCCTGGGGAAGGAGCTCAGTGGGGCCACTCTTGCCCCAGTGCTCAGGCCTCGCATTGCCTCCATAAAGGCTCATTGCGAAACAAACGCTGAACGCGATTTTCGCTTTTTGCCTTTCTTTGTAAAAGCAGAAATTCTCTTTGGATTTCTTCCAGTTACCAAAAACTAGGGGCAGATGTAGGTGTTCTGTAAGAGCAAAGTGGTATAACATGAACTTCTGAAAAGTGAGGGATACCTGTATGTGTAACTGTGTGTGCGCGTGTGTAGAGAATATGTAAACTGGAGCAGGTATAACATTGCTCTCTATTTAATAGTATATTAAAAATAATAGGCCATGGCCAACTCGGATTCATTACAGAAATACAAGGATAGTTTGATTTAGACAGTCTGTTAAAATAGCACACCATATCAGTTGATGAAAAGGGAAAAAAAACCATTCAGGCATCTATGTCCTTTGATGCTAGAAGTGCTTTTGGTAAAAGTAATAATTCTTGGTTAAAAATCCTTAGAACAGGAGACCCTTAGTTAACACCTTCTCAAAGTAAGGCAGTCTCTGTCTCTTTCCTGAAGTCAGGAAAGTTATGGCTTCACGCTCAGTAATGAAGAGTCGGCAGCATGTTAGTGGAGACAAGAAATAAGGAAAGGTGCCTGTTAGCACTGGCTGGTACAGAGAGACAGGAGCCTGAAACGGGGCATGAGCAGTGGACAGGAGGAGGTGACAACGGACCCTGCTTGCAGATGATAGGACTTCGTGCCCGAAACTAAAAAGCTATTACAAATAAGACGGTTCGGTCAGATGGCTGCTTACATTGTTGAGAATTAATATTCAGTGAGCCCATCCCTCGTGCCAAGAACTTCAAAGCACCTGAAACTGTGCACCCCCTGGGGACGATCTTTTTTGTTCTCTTTCCAAGTCTAAGAAGTGGGAGCCCTTTTTATCTCCATTTTACAGGTTAGGAAACGGAGGCCTAGAGAAGTTCAGTCACGTGGCTACAGTCCTGTAGGCAGAAAGTGGCTGGCCGGCACTGCAGTTGCCGTTGCCCGTGGCAGTGGAGTTGTGTGGCCTTGGGCTGGGCCGCCTGCTCCGGGGCCGTGGTTTCCTCACCTCTGGAGGAGATGGCCTCGGGATCCCTGCGTGCGTGTGCACGTGCGCAGACCGGGGCAAGCATGTGTGCAGGATGTGCGTGCTGCCTGGGGCCGTGGCGCGGCCACAGCTGGGGCTTGGTAGGCTCCCTTCCCCCGGCCTCAGCTGTCTGTCCTCTTCATGCTCAGATGTCCGCTGGGGATTCTGGAAAGAAAACAAGGCTTTCCCCGTTTACCTTCTTCTGCCTATTGAATTTACAAATCACCAACTCTCAGAGTGACTTAACTAACAGGGCTGGGTACAAAGGCCCATGTTTAGCCACTGGCTTGAGCACCCTCCTGGAGGCTCGGAGGTAATCCTCAGGGACGTTGTGCTTGACGGCCCCCTCTGCCCTGGGACAGAGCTGGGCCAGATGGACCAGAGGCCCTGGGAACCCGTAAGTGGTGACTGTGTCTCCAGAGGCTCTCAGCACAGAACAAAACATTTAAACTCTTCTCCTTCTCTGTCGACCCCATGGTAACAAAACCCACGCTGAAGCACACTGAGGCTTGCCTTCTTACCATAAGCTGCTCTCCTCTAGGGCTCCACTGTGCTGATGGTAGCTTCTGTCTCCGTCTCCAGGTACGGAGAGAAGGGGAAAGCCATCCGGATCGAGAAGGTCATCTACACTGGGAAGGAGGGCAAGAGCTCGCGCGGCTGTCCCATCGCCAAGTGGGTGAGTGTCGAGCCCCTGTGGCTAGGGCTGTGCCTCGTTGCCCTCACCACAGGCCAGGCCAGGGGTGTGTAGAGCAAGCAGACACACTTCCTGTCCAGGGGAACCTTGGAGCTGGCACCTGTGCTCGATCAAGGTCATTTTCCCCCAGCCTGAGCTATCTGTCCTCGTTTTGTTTAAACGCCGGCCCCTGGAATCCTGGGCTGGCCTCAGAAATGCCCTAGTCCATATGCTTAGTTCATACTCTCCCCGTGGTTCAGAGACGTGGTTGAGGGGAGGCACAGAGATGTCCTCTCACTCAAGTCTGGGCCCCACTGTGGACCATTTAACTCCTCTGCCCCTGCACGTGCTACTGGCATTTCCATCTCCTGTCCAGAAGAACTAGGCCTCCAGGCAGGGTCGGGGACAGTCATGCATCTGCGTGACTTCTGAGCCGCTGTTGCCTGTGAGGCAGCCTGAGTGTCTCAGCAGGGGGAACGGCAGTGACAGAGACCCCCACTCCCCCCTCCAACACACACACACACACACACAGTTTTCTGACCTTGCCTTTCTAGTCCTCCAGGAGATCTTTAGCATCACTGCAGAATCCGTTCTCGAGAGCAGCCACGGGGTCATCAGGTAGCTGTGAGCTCGGCACCGTGCAAGGTGCCCCTTAAAATTTTGAAGAGGGGTAGTGCTGAGTTGTGTGGTGTTCTTTTCTAGCCATCTCCCTTAGTGCAGTGGACTTCTCTGGTTTGCCTAGACAGCCACCAAATACCCTATCTGTTTTGGTGGTAGAGGTCATCTACAGAGTTCTACCTCCCTGGAAGTTGGGGAAGGGACAGGTGTCCCCTTTCCCTGCCCCCCCCCCCGCCACGGAGAGGCGACCCATAAATGCAAAGAAGGGCAGATTGTTCTTGGTGCTTGGTAGTGGCAGTGGAGCCACTTAGTTAACACCTTCTCAAAGTAAGCCATGCCGTAGCATGGCTACGGGCAAGTGGCAGCATCTAGCTGCCTGTGGTGGAGGATGCTTCCCGTGGTTCTCCCTGCCCACTGGCCCCTCTGGTCTTATGTCTAGAGCCTGGGGTTTCCTTCCCAACCAGGTTCATGTCTTTGTTTACCGCCAGAACCCCTAACCAGTACGTTCATCTACAAGTAGTATGCCTGACAAATTGGGGGCGTGAGTGGCCAGGATCTTGGGGACAGAGTTGAGGCTCATCATGGGTACCTAGTAGATGCGTGTTGAGGGAAGGATCTAAGAAAGCAGTGGGATGACCCAGGGAGCCTACTGGTAACTGTCAGTGTTAAGGTGGCCTGTACAGGGTATGGAAGTCACCAAGCGTGGGAGTTAAGGGAGTGACCCAGGTCTCATTCCTAAGGCTCAGTATAAATGGAGACACGCCAGAAGCAAACACCACGGACAGCAAAAGTGGGCTTTCGGTTGAACCATGACCCACGGAGATGCTGCTTGGGCCAGCCTGTACCGATGACCGGGGGCAGAAGGCAGGTATTCAAAGGCCCATTGAGGGCACGGTGGAACAGACCTCGTGGGGAAACTCAGGGCTCAAAACTAAGTACCAAGAGTGGGAGCTGCAGGAAGACAGGTTTGGGCTTCTGTTGGGTACAGTGACCAGGGAGTTCCTGCACAGAATCTGAGTGGGCGGTCTGTGGTTCTGTGGTGGCTTATGAGCCATTGGTGTTGCCATGCTCAGGTGTTGGGTGTCCTCCTGCCCTTCTGTGGGCCTTTCACATTTGCATTTTGTGCGTTCAGTCCTGCTGGCTTCCTTCATAGCACGGGTAGGGAGCGTTCCACTTTAGTTGGTTTTCTAATGGTTTTTTTGAGTGTAGCCATAGGCCTGTGGGGGTGTGGCCACAGAGAGCTGTCTGCTTGTGCTTGTCGTGTTTATGTGTTTGCCACTCGGGAAACCGGAAGGATGTGGCCTCGATGTCCACTTGGACTGGTAAAGTGCGTGCTCTGAACACATCACACGTGGGCGCCATGAGCCAGTGGCCTGCCCTGCGCACTGAGCAGACATTGACAGTGGTGCCTCAGAAACTCCGGTGACAGGACTGCTGTCTTGTGTGTGTGTGTGTGTGTTTAAGAGTTTTATTTATTTATTTGTCAGAGAGAGAGAGAGTGTGCACGCACACACATGCAGGGGGAGCGGCAGGCAGAGGGAGAAGCAGACTCTCCACAGAGCAGGGAGCCCAATGTGGGGCTTGATCCCAGGACCCCGGGACCATGACCTGAGCCGAAGGCAGACTGAGCCACCAGGTGCCCCTAGGGACTGCTGTCTTACCAGTACCTGGGCCATGCGCAGCTGCTCACGGTATGGTCGGCTCAGTCTGCGGAGGCCGGGCAGTCAGGCAGCGAGTCCTCTCACGGCATGACTTAGTGACGTGGTCATAGGTTACTTTTCCCAAAAAAAAAATAAAAAAAATAAAAAAGTAAGGATGTAACCGATGCTTCCCTGGGTTGGCTCAAAGTAGGAACTCGTGGGCCAGAGATGTGTTTTGTTTAGTAGGCAGGGTGCCCCTTAAAATTTTGAAGGAAATTCCGACATCTGCTGCAACATGGATGAACCTCGAGGCTGTTACACTAAGTGAACTAAGCCAGTCCCAAAAGGACAAGTCCCACGTGATTCCACGTGTATGAGGTTCTGCGCATAGTCACAGTCCTCAGAGTGTCAGCGAGTAGAGTGGTTGTTACCACGGGCCAGGGCAGGAGAGAGGGGAGAGAGTGTTACATGGGTACAGAGCTTCTGTTTGGGAAGAGGACGTCGTGGAGGCAGACGGACTTCTGGTGGCAGCTGCGTACTTAGCCACTGAACTTTACACGGAACGACGGCCACCGAGGTCATTTTTATGTCCTGTATGTTTTACCATGTTTTAAAACATTGAATTAGATGCTCACCTCTTTAAAGGGAGAGATTGCATGTAAAGTCTGGATCTCTGTTTTCTTGTTAAAATTGGGAGAAGTGGTTGTACAAGGCTGAAATTCTCCCCAGGCAGTGGCTGATGGAGAGAAGGCCTGGCTTATTTCTTTTGAAGGGGCAAGTGTGTTTTTCACGTGGCCGTGGTCCACACTGCTCCCCAGCTGTCCGGCGGGCCCACTCTCCTTATTTATCCTGCCTGGATGGCTGCCTCTTTGGACGTCTCCCTGCACTGACATACTCAGGACCGAGTGTGTCTGCAGCCCAGGCATCTCCTGACTCCCCAGACCCAGGCTACTGGGGTCTACGAGAACTGGCCACTCTCAGCCCCGGCACATTCCCAGTGAACTCGCCACGAAACAGCCCACAACCTACCCACTCTCCCCTGCCACAAAAGTGGAAATCCATTTAAGACTTTCTCCTCTTCCTCAGCCCCTAGAGTCAGATGGTCCCAAAGCCACCTTTCTCCTCAGTGTGTCTGAATGCATTCCTTTTCCCGTGTCATTCCCCACTGCCCTAGTTCAGCACTTTATCCACTTTTGCTTGTGTCATGTTTGTTAGTGGTCTCCCTGTCACTCTCCCCTGCCCCCAACCACCTGCTCCCCTTCTAGAGCAGGAAGCTACTTAGGAAAGCCCCCTGTGTAGACTCCTTTGTGGAACCCCCACCTTGAGTCCTCGTCACTCAGAGCCCTTCCCAGTCTGCCCTCCTCCTTCGCCTCTTCATAGGCCCTCGTCAGCTCCCAGAATTAGTTGGGGCTCTTAGGGGAGGTCAGCCACCTCGTCCCCCAGCTCCCAGGCCCTTAGCCGTGCCATATCCTTGTGGGAGCCAGGTCAGAGTTCTGGGAGTGAGTGAGAGTGGGGTGGGGGGAGAGCCTGGCGGAGGAGCCGTGCAGCACGGAGCCCCAGGCCCTTGCTTTTTGTGTTCTTTAAGAGCTTTATTGAGATAACAATTCACATACCATACAATTCATGCATTCAAAGTACACAGCTCACTGGTTTGGGGTATGCTACTAATTTTTAAAAATTGTGTTGAATTATACATAACCTAAAATTGGCCATTTTAACCATTTTTAAGTGCACAGTGGTATCAACTACATTCACATTCTTATGCAGCCATCATACTAAACAAAACACATCTCTGCAAATACGCTCGCAGCAAGACGCCGCGCAAGTTCCGCCTTGCAGGGGACAATCCCAAGGAGGTGAGCAGAGCTCCACAGAGCAGTGGGGCCCTCCCCGCTCGTCCCCTTCCCCCTAATGCCTTTCATAGTCCGGCGGGGAGGGTGGGTTAGCACGCGTGAGACTCGGATGTGCGGGAAGTGCAACTTGCTTTATTTTTTTTTCTTAACTGACCTTATCTTGCTGTGAAGTAAGGTGGGTGGGGTGGGGTGTGGGGTGTGGTGTGGAGGGGTGGGGAGTGAAAACTTAATGACAGGTACCTCAGACTCTTCCAGCTTTAAAACAGTCTCTATGGTAAATGTTCAAATTCCTCCTCAGAATGTGACCTCCTTATGCAGCCATCAGCACACTCTATATTTTCAAAACTTTTAGAACCCAGAAACTCTGTACCCTGTTCTCTGCCCCCCAAGCCCCTGACAGCCACCCTCCCACCTGCTGTCTCTGTGAATCTGACTGTTCCAGGCACTCTTTGTAAGCGGGATCTTATACGGTATCTGTTCTTTAGTGTCTGGCTTATTTCACTTAACATGATGTTCTCCGGGTTCATCCACGTTGCCGCATGTGTCCGATGTTCCTTCCTTTTTAAGGTTGACGACTGCTCCGTTGTATGGAGAGGCCACATTTTGTTGATCCGTATCTGTTGATGGACACTTGGGTTGTTTCCACTGTTTGGCTGCTGTGAATAATGATACCCTGAACACAAATGTACAAACCCATGTCCCGGGCCCTGCTCTCAGTCCCCTTGGGTGTATTCCTGGGAGTGGCACTGCCTGGTCATATGGTAATGACATGTTTCGAGAAACTGCCAAAAACTTCCACAGCACCAAAGCCCCTTGCTTTGTAACTAAAATCATACAGATAAGCAGCATTTTCTCGGCAAATATTTTAGGACTACATAAAAAAAAAATCTCAGTATATTTTGGCTCACAATTTTCTCTCTCTGTATTTAGTGCTAAGCCCAAGCAGCCCATCAATAACTTAGATTTTGTAGTAATTGTTTTTTATTTTGCTCTTAAAAAAATAACGTTTGCATTCACTATTCCCTAATGATAACGGTCTCTGTATGATTGCTGTCGACACTGCCCTAAAGACCTGCGCCCCCTGGTCTGACCGGCAGAGGTGAGGGGGGGTGTGGCGTCCCAGGCAGAGGAGCGTGGGGGCCAGGCTCCGACAGTGAACAGCGCCCACCCTGCCCCGCGTCCCTGCAGGTGATCCGCAGGCACACGCTGGAGGAGAAGCTGCTGTGCCTGGTGCGGCACCGGGCGGGCCACCACTGCCAGAACGCGGTGATTGTCATCCTTATCCTGGCCTGGGAAGGCATCCCCCGCAGCCTCGGAGACACCCTCTACCAAGAGCTCACCGACACCCTCCGGAAGTACGGGAACCCCACCAGCCGGAGATGTGGCCTCAACGATGAGTACGTGGTGGGGGGGGAGGTGGTCCCTGCATGCAAGGGTGGGGGTGGCTGGGCCAGGTGGCCATCAGCAGGGCCTTGGGCAGCAGATGCAGGGGACTTTGTCCCCCCTCAACTGGGGCCTGTCTGTCCCGCAGTCAGGACTGTGATGAAAGCAGCTGCCCCACGATCCTGACCTGGGTTCTTCTGGTGCTGGCGGGAGAGGGTCTCTTGCCTTGGCTCGGCTTCGCTGTTGAACCTCACATGGGCTCTGGGGCTCTAATGATGGAGCAACTGTGAAAAAGTATGTGAGTGTCCCGCAAGTGTAAGGTGTCAGTGTTAGTCATGAAACCTGCCCTTCTAGGGTCTCTTCCCATTTTTTAAATTAAGGTATTTTTACTAAAGAAAAAAATTAAAGTAAAAATTCATCCTTTTAGGTATACGGTTTGAAGAGTTTGGGGTTTTTTTTAAGCTTTTATTTAAATTCCAGTTAAATAACACACAGTGTAATAGTTTCAGGTGTACAGGTTTGAAGAGGGACAAATGTTTACAGTCCTGTAGCCACTACCACCACCACCACCAAGATATAGAACGGTTCCATCGTTCCCCCCAATTCCCCTGCACCCCTTTAGAAGCAAGTCCTTCCTTCTGCCCTTGGCAACCACCAATCGTGCTTCATGTCCCCATAGGTTTGCCATTCCAAGAATGTTCTATAAACGGAACCAGACCGAGTGTAGCCCTTTGGGTCTAGCTTCCTTCCCTGAGCATTTATCAGTATTTCTGAGCTCCACCTGTGCTTGTGGGTAGCTCATTCCTTTTTACTGCTGAGTAGTACGCCACTGCTGGGTGCGTCACCGCTCGATTATCCATTCCCCAGTTGGGAGGCCTCGGATTGTTTCCAGACTTTATTAGTTGTGGAGTTATAATGTCTGTGTTTGTTTAAAGGCCTGAAGCACCTGGGCCTGAAGGAAGCGGGCGTGTTCAAATATGTCCCTGTGTGTGTCGAATGGGTCAGAAGCTGTCATATTAGAGTTAAGACAAAGGATAAACCTTACTGGGGTTTTGATTAGATTCTTCCCACTTACCTCAAACAACCCATGAGCTTCTCCCAACAACAGATTCTTAGACCTACAGGCTCAGGGGGTGGGAGCTGATTCTCTACCCCAGGACATTTGGGAAAGGAGCTGAAGGCAGGGAAGGATGTGGTCCCAGTCACTGGGAGGCCACGGATACTAGGCCTCGCAGGACCTCCCCCTGGGGAGGGAGGCAGATTTCCGACCAAAAAAATGTGTCTGCATGCCTAACGTGACGTATGTTGCAGCCGGACCTGCGCTTGCCAAGGCAAAGACCCCAGCACCTGCGGTGCCTCCTTCTCCTTTGGTTGTTCCTGGAGCATGTACTTCAACGGCTGCAAATACGCTCGCAGCAAGACGCCGCGCAAGTTCCGCCTTGCAGGGGACAATCCCAAGGAGGTGAGCAGAGCTCCACAGAGCAGTGGGGCCCTCCCCGCTCGTCCCCTTCCCCCTAATGCCTTTCATAGTCCGGCGGGGAGGGTGGATTAGCACGCGTGAGACTCGGATGTGCGGGAAGTGCAACTTGCTTTATTTTTTCTTTCTTAACTGACCTTATCTTGCTGTGAAGTAAGGTGGGTGGGGTGGGGTGTGGGGTGTGGTGTGGAGGGGTGTGGGGAGTGAAAACTTGATGACAGGTACCTCAGACTCTTCCAGCTTTAAAACAGTCTCTCTATGGTAAATGTTCAAATTCCTCCTCAGAATGTGACCTCCTTTATAGGTCATTTCTTCTCTTCAGTCTTCCCAAGACATCTTTCAGGGGCTGGGAGGTTTAGCAGGAAGAGGAGCCTTGAGGCCGTGGGCCATTTTCTGGGGCAAGTTTAGACTTCCCAAAGTGGCCCTCGTCCTGCCTGGCTGCCAGGTGACCTCTTTGTGAGGTTGTCCACCTGTCCGGGCCCTTGCTGTCTCCTCCTGGGAGCCCGGCCTGGCTCTTAGGCACTGGCCTGGTGTCCACACAGTATGGCCTCTCGGTAGCCGCCTCGTCAGGTCAGGCTGCCTTCTGCCTTGCCCCTTCCCCTCTGTTGTCCTGCTTGTGAAGGCCAGCCTGAGAGCTGGGCTCCCCTCTGAGTTTCAAATGCAGAGAAGGTACAGGCCTGTCTGGGCTCCCCATCATTTCCCCTTCAGCCTCCCCCCCGCCCTGCCTGAGCTCCTGTGAGGTAGGGTACTGGGTCCTTTTGTGGGGGTCTAGGCAACATCTTGATCCCTGGCTCTACCTTCCACATCTCCTTAAGCTCCTTGTCCAGAGGGTTTCCCTTTTCCACGGGGCGTGGGGACTCCCCTTGGGCCTATGTTTTTCTACTGTACATATAATAAACTCGGAGTTCTCAGCCCTGCTTTTCAGAAGTAAAAGGAAGCATTTTCAAATGTAGAACACTTTTTCCCTCAAAGCTTGGCTTTTATTTTTTTAAGATTTTATTTACTTATTTATTTATTTATTTATTTACAAATGAGAGAGAGAGGAAGAGCCGGAGTGGGAGAAAGAACGAGAGCAGAGGGAGGAGAAGCAGGCTCCCCGCTGAGCTCGGCTCAGTCCCACAACCCCCAGATCACGACCCAAGCTAAAATCAAGAGTCAGACGCCCAACTGACTGAGCCACCCTGGCACCCCCAAAGCCTGGCTTTTAGACTATTGCACAAGCTAGTCTAATAGTCTGATTTGACACTGGACTTTTATTTATGGTGGCATCTGCCCTCCCCTGGAAGCAGCAAATGCAGCTATTTCAATAAGAGAGGAGCCCCAGGACCCCAGGAAGTAAGAATTACCAGGAGTGAAAATGCACTGCTTTAATTTCTCTCACCTACTCGCCCTGTTCCCTCAGCTAGCATTCCCGTGAACTTACGTAGTGCTGAGCACACGGGCCAGTACCTCACAGGTGTGCATCTCAGCCAGGCTCATGACACCCCAGGCTCTGGGCATTACTGCTACTCACTTTACAGAGGAGGCAAATGGCTTGCCCAAGGCCATATGGCAGTAATGGTGAAGTCAGGCCTGGGTTCCCCCAGAGCTCACGAGCCTCACCCTGCGCTGTGCTGGCCTTGGGCCCACTGTGTCGGTGGCAGCCTTTGGACTGCAGCCAGAGATTGGGGGTAGCCGCCCGACTGGACGGACAGCTGAGCCATTGGCCGCGATCTAACATTTCCGCTTCTGTAAGTTTGGTTCTTTTTCTCTTCCGTCTTCTTCCTCTTTTTTCTGTGTAAACTCTTCATGTCTGTGCTCAAGGCCTTCTAGGAGGCCCCTGGCCCCACCCCTGCCAGCCCTACTTGCCACCCCTCGAGGGCCAGGCTGTGGCTACCTGAACCCCTAACCAAAGGTCGCTGGGGTGCTGCTCTGTGCGGGGCAGCACTGGCCAGTGGACCTTCTGTGAGCAGGCAGATGTTCTCTGTAAAAACACAGCACGGGAGCCACACAGAACCACCAAGCATTTGAAACATCACTAGGAAAACGGGGACTGAATTCTTCATTTTAATTAAGATTCATATAAATTTCGATAGCAGCACATGGCTCGTGACTACCACATACGATGATGCGGGTCTGGGGAGTTCCCAGCACAGACCTTCACCACCCCTCTCCTCTCCATCTTCCCGTCTCTAACACCGGAAGAAAAAGCCACACGTGTTGCTCCTGCTTTCACATGCCTACCACACCAGCTTTCTGCCCTAGGATGCTGAGCACTCAAAACCAACAACCTGTTGTATGGGTTGTGAGCGGCACTGAGCTAGAGCCTGGAAGAGCAGTAGCTGAGCAGTCCAGGTGGCTGGACCTTCAGGCCGAGACTTTTCCTGAGCTTCCATGTCTGCAACTTTAAAACGCACATGGCACCACACCCCTCCCAGAGGAAACTCTGTAAAGACACCTGATGGCACCTTACTTCCTACCTTCCCAGCAGCCCCGCGATGGTTCTAGGATGGAGGTTAGCTTCCAGCGTGTAGAGTTTGCCAGGTGGGGATGCTCTGGATACGTGTGACTGCTCTTCTCTCCACAGGAAGAAGTGCTCCGGAAGAGTTTCCAGGACCTGGCCACCGAAGTCGCTCCCCTATACAAGAGGCTGGCCCCCCAGGCCTATCAGAACCAGGTACGGGGTCTTGGGCCTTTCTCTGCCCACATGTCATCCACATCTCTGTCCATGCTCCCTGAAGTCGGGAAGTGGGAGACTGAGTCCCTCCCATCGTGTTCCATATGGGAAAAGCTCACTTAGAGAGTAATGACGTAGGTCTTGAGTAAGATCCTTTCTTTACACTGAGCTAACTGCATCCCAGACTGTCTGTCCTCTTTCCCTTGCTTTCATGCCTCTCCCGCCTAGTAATCTCCCACCTCCTCTGGTCTGGCTTCTCCTGGGGAGGCTCGAGTTTCTCTGTCCCGTCGCCCCTGCATCTCCCAGATGAGGTGAGAGGGACTTGAGGTAACTGAGAAGAAGTCATTCCTACAGAGGCTTCCGCCAGAAAGCCTCCCTTCGGCAGCCCATGCGCAAGGCAGCCGTGGTCCTTAACCTCCCCAGGGCAGAATCCAGGCCACTGACCTCAGGGAACACAAGCAGTTGTCCTTGGCCGTCCACACAGGTGACCAATGAGGAAATAGCGATTGACTGCCGCCTGGGGCTGAAGGAAGGGCGGCCCTTCTCGGGGGTCACGGCCTGCATGGACTTCTGTGCCCACGCCCACAAGGACCAGCATAACCTCTACAACGGGTGCACCGTGGTAAGGAACCCTGGGCCTGTCACAGTGCCCCCTGTGGGATGATCCTGGGAGGGGGGACTGGTTTGTGCAGACAGATGGCTCAGAGTAGGGAGGGACCTGGAAACAAGAGTCTCAGATCTCTGGTTTGTGCCCTGCCAGACTGCTCCTGCTCACTTCTCTGAGAAATGCATGGACCGGAATGCTTGAGCCAGGCCGGCCTTGTGTCTGTGTCTCAGGTGGATGCTGCAGAGTGCAGTCTCTTGGACACCTGGAGGCCCTCAGTTACCTAAAGAAGGTTCCAGGTCTCCGTGAACACTTGGATTTAAATCCAGACAATCTCTTGACTCACCCATTGAGCAAATGTTTATTGTGCCCCAGGTGCTGGTCTAGATCTTGGGGAATAAAATGGACCAAGTCCTGTCCAAGTATGTGACACAATTCATGTCTGGTAGCGATGAAGATGGAGTCGGGGAAGGGGGAAAGTGAGAACAGATGCTGTTTGAAATGCCGTGGGCAGAGAGGCCTTTCTGAAAAGGGGCAGCTGAGCTGAGACATGAATGAAGCGAGAGAGTAAAGGATTGTATGTCTGGGGGTGGAGCGCTCCAGGCAGAAGGACCAGCACAGGCAAAGGCTCAGAGGCAGGCAGGGATCAGGTCACAGGGAGCTCAGAAGGCAGGCGAGGCTGTGGGCTGTGCTCCAAGTGTGATGGGAAGCCCTGGAGAGCTCCTCAGCCGAGAGTAGTAGGATCTCCTCTATGGAGTCAGAAGCATGCTCTTGCTCCTGCAGATGGAGAATAAGTATGTGGAGGTGGGGGGAGGGGTGGATGGGAGAGAACCGGAGGAGGAGGCCAGTTGGAAGGCTGGGCAACGTCGAGGCTAGAGGTGACAGGGCTGGGGCAGGAGGGAGGGTGGGGAGGGGGGTAATTGGATGACTCGGGGTGACTTTTAAGGTATAGCCAAGGGGGCGTTGCTGATGGACAGATACAGGATAGGAGAGGGAAGGACAAGAGAACCACTCAAGTCGTTTTGCTTGAGCGCCAGGGCAAGTGTTGGGGTGATGTGCTGAGCTGTAGACTAGCAGAGAAGGCCAGTTTGGGGGGAAACTGTTTTGAGAGGCCTGCTAGATGTCCAGGTGGACATGCAGAGCAGGCAGGGGAGGGGGGCTTTGCTGTTTTGTTTATCACATTGGGTTTTAGGGAATGATTGGAAGCAGGGCTGTGGTCAGTCCAACCCAGCAGGTATGTGGGGGTCTGGTCAGAGCAGATGAAGTCTGAAGAGCCCCACATACGCTGGGAAGAAACATACTTGGTAGAGCATGACACCAAAGGAGAAGCTATAGAGGGGAAGATAAATACAGCCGACTTCATAAAAAAGAACTGTTTCTGTTCAATAATAAGACTCCATGATCAAAACTGAAAGTCCAGTCCAAACTGGAAAACAGTATTTATAACAAGTGACAAAGGGAATAACCTTCACATACAAAGATTGTTTTATATGAATGATTAAAATGAATAGTCCAGTATAAAAATGGGCAAAAGGCATAAAAGTCACGAAAAAAGGAAGACAGAGAGTGGTATTAAAATATACCCCGGCTTTGTTTTCCTCGAGTCTGATAAGACAGACATGAGAGTCGAGAGGACAGAAGCTTGTCCTCAGCCTTCAGAAGCACACGCTGGGCCACGCAGAAGCACTGGGCTTGGTCAGAAGGCAGGGTGGAGAAGGGAGAGTGTGGCCCAGAGCTTTTATTGGAGATTCTGTGGGAAGGAGTGGGCAAGGCAAAGTAGAAAGCTGAGTAAGCTGAGGATTGGAGAGTTTGGATAGTTTCTGGGGGCTCTGGGCCATAGGGATGGCCTGCAGTTGTCTTCCCTGGCCCTGGGTGATACAAGGTAGTGGGAATATTGGCTCAGTGTGCAGGAGTTTGGTAAAAGAGAGAGTTGGCTGTGTAGGCTCTTGATTGGTTGGTTCGTATATCAGAGTGCACCCAAAGGAGGTCATTTGCTATCTCTAGGCATTAGCTAGTCTTTGGGGAAGGACAGCCCCTCCAGGGTCAAGGTCCTGAATGCCAAAACATCAAGAACACAGAAAATAAAATATAGTCAACACAAGAGTAAAGAGTAAACTTGAGAGAAAAAAAAAATCAAACCTCATTAGTAATCAGAGAAATGCAGACCAACGAGATACATTTCGATAATAAGCAAAATGTTTTTCAGAAGCGAATGGCAAAATTATAAGCAAAAGCGTAGGAAAATGGAAACTCCCCTTCTGTCACTATGAGTGAAACACTGAGGAGAATCCTTTTGGAGGGCAGTTTGGCAACATGTAGCCCTTTGCTTCACAGAGTTTCTTCTAAGGAATTATGTATCTTAGAAAATTTAGCTGAAAGTATAAAAGTATTGTTTATGATAGGAAAAAAATTGGAAACAAGTTTTAATGGTGATGACGGTTTAAAAGAATACATTGATACAGTAGAATAATATGATGCAAGTTTTTAAATCACACTGGGGGAGAATAATGCATAAGAAAATACTCATACTGTGTTTAAAAATAAGTTATTATAAAGTTGCATGCATAATGTCCTATTTCATTATCAAAAAGCGAGTTTGGGTATGTGTGTATGCAAATATGATCAACGTGTTTATAGTGATTATTTCTGGATGGTGGGATTATGGAGATAATTATTATTTCCTTTGTGCTGGCCTAAATTTTCTACAAGCAGCACATGTAGTTTTTAATACAAGGTATTTTAAGAGCAAAAGGAGGCTGTGTGTTCAGGGCATGGAGGATAAGGGTGTGGGGTCTGAGGCTCGGTGAGGTGATGAGGCGTAATGACAAGAATGCCCCGCTGGAGGGCAGAGCACGGCTGCCAGTCCTGACCGGGCCCCCTCCCAGCCCCCGGAGGGTGGCAGGAGACAAAGTGAATGGATGGCCTCCGAAAGCAGTAGAGCAGATTCTAAATGCTGATGATACTGTTACTCTGTGAACCAGGGGGAACGTGCTTTTAGACACCCTAGAAAGAGTGGCTGGCTGGTGTTGGCACTGTGTGCGGAAGGGGGGGAGGTCTTGTCTGTGGATGTTCAGCCCCTTGCCCCCAGCGCTCGGCGCCCCCAGCCCCATGCACCTTCCCTCTCTCTGCTTGGGGCAGGTCTGCACCCTGACCAAGGAAGACAATCGCTGTGTGGGCAAGATTCCCGAGGACGAGCAGCTGCACGTGCTCCCCCTGTACAAGATGGCCAACACGGACGAGTTTGGCAGTGAGGAGAACCAGAACGCCAAGGTGGGCAGCGGGGCCATCCAGGTGCTCACGGCCTTCCCCCGCGAGGTCCGGCGCCTGCCCGAGCCTGCCAAGTCGTGCCGTCAGCGGCAGCTGGAAGCCAGAAAGGCGGCGGCGGAGAAGAAGAAGATTCAGAAGGAGAAGCTGAGCACTCCCGAGAAGATCAAACAGGAGGCCCTCGAGCTGGCCGGTGTCACCACTGACCCAGGTGTGTGGGGAGAGGGTGCCCGCCAGACGTGGCACTGTCGGGGTGGGGGGGCGGTGTGTGGCCCTGGACAGCTCCCTCCCTGCCCCTTTTCCTGCCTGGAGATGGAACTCCAGACCAGAGTCCTGGGGCCTCTCTCAGCCCTCTGAACCCCACATTATCTTAGCTTTCAGCCAATGCAGCATCTGCGGCAGCCCCAGGACACCAGAGCTGGGGGGGTCCCCTCTTCCCACAGAGGAGCTGGGCTTCTCCTGCAGCTTGCCTGAGCATCTGCACACTGTGCCAGGGCCTCAGGCGCGTGGTCTGCAGGGGGGCATGGGCCACTCTCACGTCGCCTGAGCCAGTGAGGACCCGTGGGGTTCGCCAGCGAAGGGAGGAGGAGGAGGGATGCTGCAGGGGGCTCCTCCCGGGGCTTCCGTGGGGCTGGGAACCCCTTAGGGGAAGAGGGAGGTTCCATGCGCAGTCCTCTTGCTCCGGACCACTGTGGGCTATGGTTCTCTCTGCTCCTTCTTGGTCTTGCCTCCTGTCTTCTCCAGGCCTGGCTCTGAAGGGTGGATTGCCCCAGCAAGGCCTGAAGCCCTCCCTCAAAGTGGAGCCACAGAACCACTTCAGCTCCTTCAAATACAGCGGCAACGCGGTGGTGGAGAGCTACTCGGTGCTGGGCAACTGCCGGCCGTCCGACCCCTACAGCATGAATAGCGTGTACTCCTACCACTCCTACTATGCACAGCCCGGCCTGACCTCCGTCAACGGCTTCCACTCCAAGTACGCTCTTCCGTCGTTCGGCTACTATGGCTTTCCATCCAGCAACCCCGTCTTCCCCTCACAGTTCTTGGGGCCTGGCACGTGGGGACACGGTGGCAGCAGCAGCAGTTTTGAGAAGAAGCCAGACCTCCACACTCTGCACAACAGCCTGAGCCCGGCCTACGGTGGTGCTGAGTTTGCCGAGCTGCCTGGCCAGGCTGTTCCCACGGACACCCACCACCCCACTCCTCACCACCAGCAGCCTGCTTATCCAGGCCCCAAGGAGTATCTGCTTCCCAAGGCTCCCCAGATCCACCCAGCATCCAGGGACCCCTCTCCCTTTGCACAGAGCTCCACCTGCTACAACAGATCCATCAAGCAAGAGCCAGTAGACCCGCTGGTCCAGGCTGAGTCTATACCCAGAGACCCTGGTAAGATGGGCAAAACACCTTTGCCCGAGGCTTCTCAGAATGGGGGACCTAATCACCTATGGGGGCAGTACTCAGGAGGCCCAAGCATGTCCCCCAAGAGGACTAACAGTGTGGGTGGCAGCTGGGGTGTGTTCCATCCTGGGGAGAGCCCTGCCATCATCCCCGACAAGCTCAGTTCTTATGGGGCCAGCTGCCTGACCCCTTCCCACTTCCCGGATGGCCAGTGGGGGCTGTTCCCTAGCGAGGGGCAGCAGCCAGCCCCCCAGCCTGGAGGGCGGCTCCGAGGCAAACCGTGGAGCCCCTGCAAGTTTGGGAACAACACCTCGGCCTTGGCCGGGCCCAGCCTGACTGAGAAGCCGTGGGGAATTGGGGCCGGGGATTTCAACTCTGCCCTGAAAAGCGGTCCTGGGTTCCAAGACAAGTTGTGGAGCCCCCTGAAAGGAGAGGAGGGACGGCTTCCAACCCCGGGGGCAAGCCAGCTGGACAAAGCCTGGCAGTCCTTCAGCATGCCCCTGGGCTCCAGTGAGAAGCTCTTCGGGGCCCTAAAGTCAGAGGAAAAGCTGTGGGATCCCTTCAGCCTGGAGGAGGGGACTGCCGAGGACGCCCCCGACAAGGGGGCGGTGAAGGAGGAGAAGAGTGTCGGGGCAGAGGAGGAGGAGGAGCTCTGGTCTGACAGTGAACACAACTTCCTGGACGAGAACATCGGCGGTGTGGCTGTGGCCCCCGCTCACGGCTCAATCCTCATCGAGTGCGCCCGGCGGGAGCTGCATGCTACCACGCCCCTCAAGAAGCCCAACCGCTGCCACCCCACCCGCATCTCGCTGGTCTTCTACCAGCACAAGAACCTCAACCAGCCCAATCACGGGCTGGCCCTCTGGGAGGCCAAGATGAAGCAACTGGCGGAGAGGGCCCGGGCGCGACAGGAGGAGGCCGCCCGGCTGGGCCTGGGCCAGCAGGAGGCCAAGCTCTATGGGAAGAAGCGCAAATGGGGGGGTGCCATGGTGGCCGAGCCCCAGCATAAGGAGAAGAAGGGGATTGTCCCCACTCGGCAGGCGCTGGCCGTGCCCACAGACTCAGCAGTCACCGTGTCCTCCTACGCCTACACGAAGGTCACTGGCCCCTACAGCCGCTGGATCTAGGTGCCAGGGAGCCAGGGAGCCAGCGTACCTCAGCGTCGGGCCCGGCCCGAGCTGCCTCTGTGGTGCTTTTGCCCTCACACCTGGGGGCGGGTTGGGGGTGCAGAAGTCTTTTTATCTATATATACATATATAGATATGCATATATATGTATTTATGGTCCAAACCTCAGAACTGACCCGCCCCTCCCCTCCCCCCTCCCCACTTCCCCAGCACTTTGAAGAAGAAACTACGGCTGTCGGGTGATTTTTTTCGTGATCTTAATATTTATATCTCCACGTTGGTTTTTTTCTCCCCTCCCCCTTGTCTGGGGGGCTTTTATTTCCTCTTGTTTTTAAAACTCTATCCTTGTATATCACAATAATGGAAAGAAAGTTTATAGTGTCCTTTCACAAAGGAGTAGTTTTAAATTCCATTTAAAAATGTGTATTTATTGGATTTTTTAAAAAGCGACAATAGTAATGGTAAAGGAGCGGCAGGAAAGGCCAAAAGCGCTCATTCCTGCCCGGTCTTGCTGGGCCCAGCGAGCCTGGCCCTCTTGGGAGCTGGCAAGGTTCTCTCAGCCATCTGCCCCTCATGAGCCAAGTGCAGACTGTAGCCACCCTGGTCCATCCCTCCTGACAGATATGCCTTCCCTTCAGGGGAGGGAGCCCTCAGGACAGCTTCTGTCCTCTCCAGTAGGATGGGAGAATCTGTAGAAAAACATCTGGGGTCCCTTTTCCAGTCACCGGCTTGGAGTCGGGGACCGGGGAGGCAGGTGCGTCCCCAGGCCAGGCAACAGAGATGCTGGCGTAGATTTCCCCCAGAAACCAGGTTGGAAGTAGACAGCTTCAAGCTTGCTAGTCTCCACACTGAATCTTCTCTGTCCGTTACTGATCGAGTCACATGATGTCACGGTTCCCTAGGCAGCACCTCCTTGATGGAGCTGGAGTTGAGAGGCTCTGAGGAGCCATTTCCACCAGGTTGACAAGCCAATGAATACTGGGCTGAAGGAATTCGTCTTAGTGGCAGTTTATTTTTTAAAAAAAATGCCCCAAAGCCTATGCTGATATTGAAAAAGGGCTACTGTATCTCGAAAAACAAGAAGTTGAACCCAAGCTGTGAAAAGCCAGCGTCGCCCCGCCGCTCGGCGCTGCGCAGAGCCTGGTGCTGTGGTATCGTGCTGGGGCCTCCTCGACTCGGGGGCGGGCCGCGTCCTGGGGGAGCCCGGCACACCGGTGTAACAGCAGTTAACGCATCTCTCTTCCTGGATTTCCACATTGGACAATGGTGCAGGCCTCACCACCCAAGCCCGCCCCCTCCACGCTATCACGGGCAGGGGCGGGCTTGCACTCAGCAATCTTAAAATGCAGGAGTCCAACGTTTTCAGCAGGTAGCTATGATTTCCCTCCCTAATTGGTGCCATTTCTCTAGTTGATCATCTTCTCCTTTCCCCTTCCCCCCACTTTAACTTGCCCATTCTAAAATTCTGGTGCATTTGTTCAGTTCTTCAAAATGAGAATGTGGTGCTTCATTTTTGCAACATTGTGGAGAGCAGTTGGGCCTGACTGGTAGAAGCAACAGTCGTGGACAGCAAGTCAGACTTCCTGGCGTGTTTGTTTTTCCTGTGGTGTGAGTGACACTTCCATCAAGTTGCCCGTGTGGACATGTGTAGTGAGTGGGAGGCTTCAGCAGGACACACAGAGGGGAATATGGCCACACAGTGAATGACAACCAAGCCCTGAGATAAATGTCAGATATTTATTGAGCAGTTTTATTCAGATGTGGGTCTTCGTAAAACGAGTTTTAACAATCAGATGACGATGCTAAAGGCAAGTTCCTGAGCTTCCAGGTGCCTTGTGTAAGAGCTGAGAACCGACCCGCTGGGTGTTTGCCGTAACTGGTCAGAAGCACTGGCGGAGAGTCGCTGTAAGATGTCCTGAGCATTTATGTGGTCTGGTTTTAACTGTACATAGTGAAAGATTTTTTTAAGCACTTTTGCCTAGATTTAAACAGCAACTTGAAAAAAAAAATATGTTTTAACATGTAATTGTGGGAGAAATTGTAAATAGTAGCTCAATATTTAACGTGCTTTGTCTATCCTTCACTTTTACCATATTCTGTAAAGTTGCATTTATTTTACAGGACAAAAATGAAATAATATTGCTTTTGAAATAAATACCCAAGAGCTTATCAGGATTTAGAATTATTCAGAACTCAGATTTATAGGAAAACCTCTGACCTTCAGTTTGACAAGCTAAAGGAAGCAGAGTCTTTAATAAGCATGCTAATTTTCTAGTTTTGAGGAAAAGTTGGGTCCTTTAAATGCTATTTTGCTTATCGCATCAGTACTTTTATGCAGGTCTCATTTGACTCCGTGCTTAGGTAGATGCGGGGGTGCCTTGAAAACTTCATTTTAAATGATCTTAAGCAAGAAATACAATATTTTACGAAACATTTGGAGAATGTGACCGTCTGTATGACCCGGGAAAACCCCAGGTTGGCTGTTGGTTTGGAAGGTCCCGAGTGTAACCCAGGTGATTCGGATACTTGGCATGTGTGAATCTTCCTGATGTCTGTTAAATATACTCTTCCCCTCGTCACCCTTTGGTAGCAAAAGCCATTAGATGAAAGGAGAAACCGATAACAAGCTCAAAGCATGTGATGTCTGTCCCGGCAGCCCCAACAGCCTTTGGTCCATAACTTTCTCGACTCGCACATAGGCTGCTGAGAGGTGAGTCAAGAGGCAGTCTCCATTGGATGCTCCCGTTCCCCTCAGAATGGTGTTTCAGAAATTAGGTGGTGCTGTTGCCATGCTCGAGTCCATGCTGATTTTTACACACTACATGTATAACCTACCTCAAATCTCAGTCATTAAAATTAGCATGCTTTAGACGTAGATTTAAAAAGTAACTATGCACAGCTCCTTATTGCCCCCCCTTGCTGCTGAAGGTTTCTTAAAGAGAAAAATCAAATTTTTATTTTTTACTGGTACTATCATTTTTTAAGTCCTAAAGATGATTAACAGACATTTTTATCATGAGAAGAAAAATAAAGCCATTGCAACTAAAGAACCTAACAGCATGACCAAGTTTTAGAGTAATATTATAGCAAGGAGAAACGATGGAGTCCTAGAGCCCTCTCCCCAGTGTGCCCTGTCCACAGACACCATCCACATGCAGTGTGAATATCTGGTTCCCCCTTTGTTTGGTTTCCCCTGCCTTTTGCATGCAAGGGAAGTGCTTGCAAAGTTCTGTGCTAAGAGATTTTTTTTAATAATCGCTTTGTGGCAGGTTCTCACAAAATAACTGGTGCTAGCTCAAGAACCCATTATCAGAAATCTTGACTAAAGTTGTTTCATGGATTTTGAGGTTTTGTTGTTTCTGTTGTCCTTTGGTTTTTTTTTTTTTTTTTTTTTTTTTTTTTT